ATTGTTGGATGTAATATTCCAGCTCCGGAGGGGGCAGCAGGCGGCTGCCGGGGGGGGTTTCCGGGAATCCCACCAGGAGCCCCCCTGGGAGGAGAGGGATCCACCCGGAACGGTCCCCTCGACCCTCCCCGGGATCACCCAAATCCCTCGGGATCCCCAAAATCCCTTGGAATTCCCCCAAACCCCTCAGGATTCCCCTTCAGAAATCCCTCGGGATTCCCAAAATCCCTCAGGATCTCCCCCAAATCCCTTGGGATTCCCCTTCAGAATTCCCTCCAGAAATCCCTCAGGATCCCCCCCAAATCCCTCAGGATCTCCCCCAAATCCCTTGGGATTCCCCTTCAGAATTCCCTCCAGAAATCCCTCAGGATCCCCCCCAAATCCCTCAGGATCTCCCCCAAATCCCTTGGGATTCCCCTTCAGAATTCCCTCCAGAAATCCCTCAGGATCCCCCCCAAATCCCTCAGGATCTCCCCCAAATCCCTTGGGATTCCCCTTCAGAATTCCCTCCAGAAATCCCTCAGGATCCCCCCCAAATCCCTCAGGATCTCCCCCAAATCCCTTGGGATTCCCCTTCAGAATTCCCTCCAGAAATCCCTCAGGATCCCCCCCAAATCCCTCAGGATCTCCCCCAAATCCCTTGGGATTCCCCTTCAGAATTCCCTCCAGAAATCCCTCAGGATCCCCCCCAAATCCCTCAGGATCTCCCCCAAATCCCTTGGGATTCCCCTTCAGAATTCCCTCCAGAAATCCCTCAGGATCCCCCCCAAATCCCTCAGGATCTCCCCCAAATCCCTTGGGATTCCCCTTCAGAATTCCCTCCAGAAATCCCTCAGGATCCCCCCCAAATCCCTCAGGATCTCCCCCAAATCCCTTGGGATTCCCCTTCAGAATTCCCTCCAGAAATCCCTCAGGATCCCCCCCAAATCCCTCAGGATCTCCCCCAAATCCCTTGGGATTCCCCTTCAGAATTCCCTCCAGAAATCCCTCAGGATCCCCCCCAAATCCCTCAGGATCTCCCCCAAATCCCTTGGGATTCCCCTTCAGAATTCCCTCCAGAAATCCCTCAGGATCCCCCCCAAATCCCTCAGGATCTCCCCCAAATCCCTTGGGATTCCCCTTCAGAATTCCCTCCAGAAATCCCTCAGGATCCCCCCCAAATCCCTCAGGATCTCCCCCAAATCCCTTGGGATTCCCCTTCAGAATTCCCTCCAGAAATCCCTCAGGATCCCCCCCAAATCCCTCAGGATCTCCCCCAAATCCCTTGGGATTCCCCTTCAGAATTCCCTCCAGAAATCCCTCAGGATCCCCCCCAAATCCCTCAGGATCTCCCCCAAATCCCTTGGGATTCCCCTTCAGAATTCCCTCCAGAAATCCCTCAGGATCCCCCCCAAATCCCTCAGGATCTCCCCCAAATCCCTTGGGATTCCCCTTCAGAATTCCCTCCAGAAATCCCTCAGGATCCCCCCCAAATCCCTCAGGATCTCCCCCAAATCCCTTGGGATTCCCCTTCAGAATTCCCTCCAGAAATCCCTCAGGATCCCCCCCAAATCCCTCAGGATCTCCCCCAAATCCCTTGGGATTCCCCTTCAGAATTCCCTCCAGAAATCCCTCAGGATCCCCCCCAAATCCCTCAGGATCTCCCCCAAATCCCTTGGGATTCCCCTTCAGAATTCCCTCCAGAAATCCCTCAGGATCCCCCCCAAATCCCTCAGGATCTCCCCCAAATCCCTTGGGATTCCCCTTCAGAATTCCCTCCAGAAATCCCTCAGGATCCCCCCCAAATCCCTCAGGATCTCCCCCAAATCCCTTGGGATTCCCCTTCAGAATTCCCTCCAGAAATCCCTCAGGATCCCCCCCAAATCCCTCAGGATCTCCCCCAAATCCCTTGGGATTCCCCTTCAGAATTCCCTCCAGAAATCCCTCAGGATCCCCCCCAAATCCCTCAGGATCTCCCCCAAATCCCTTGGGATTCCCCTTCAGAATTCCCTCCAGAAATCCCTCAGGATCCCCCCCAAATCCCTCAGGATCTCCCCCAAATCCCTTGGGATTCCCCTTCAGAATTCCCTCCAGAAATCCCTCAGGATCCCCCCCAAATCCCTCAGGATCTCCCCCAAATCCCTTGGGATTCCCCTTCAGAATTCCCTCCAGAAATCCCTCAGGATCCCCCCCAAATCCCTCGGGATCCCCAAAATCCTTTGGAATTCCCCCAAACCCCTCAGGATTCCCCTTCAGAAATCCCTCGGGATTCCCAAAATCCCTCAGGATCCCCAAAATCCCTCGGGGTTCCCAAAATACCTTGGAATTCCCAAAATCCCCCAGGATCTCCCAAATCCCTCAGGATCCCCCAAATCCCTTGGGGTTCCCCCAAATCCTTCCGGATTCCCCAAATCCCTTGGGATTACCCTTCAGAATTCCCTCCAGAAATCCCTCAGGATCCCCCCCAAATCCCTCGGGATCCCCCAAAATCCCTCGGGATCCCAAAATCCCTCAGCATTCCCAAATCCCAGGGGATCCCCCAATCCTACAGGATCCCCCCATTCTCCCCTCCTCTCGCCTTTCCCCAAATCCCACCGGACCCCCCCCCCCATTCCCAAATCCCCCCAAATCCCTCGGGATCCCCCCCAATCCCAGATCCCACCAGATTCCCCCAAATCCTCCAGGATCCTCCCACTTCCCAAACCCTCCATTCCCAAATTCCCCCCGGACCCCTCCCGGATCCCAGGGGATCCCCCATTCCCAGGATCCCCCCAAATCCCTCGGGATCCTCCCAATTCCCAAACCCCCCTTCCCAAATCCCCTCCAGATCCCAGGGGATCCCCCCATCCCAAAATCCCACCGGATCCCCCAAATCCCCCAGGATCCCCCAGATCCCAGGGGATCCCCCATTCCCCCCCCTCCCCCCCCAACACCTTGGGC